TAGATTATATAATAAGAACTTCCTACAAATATTGGATACATACGCATTGCAGGAACAGTCAGAATATCAGCTTATCGGTCTGATTTCAGAATGATATGGGTGTCTCGACGGCACGGAGGATCCCCTCGGACTGCCCTCACACTATAACATACACAGGCTACAACACCAAATAACATTCTACTTAACATGTTATATATTAGTTAGGTCGCGATCTTATCTTATCTATCTCAGAGCATCGGACATATGAAGATCCGTCACCACTTCCTATGGCCCGACCCCTCACACAAACATGTTTCTTGACAGGTCAGCTCTTATGGCTGATAGAGACCATGTGTTGACCCGTTAGTACTCGCGATCGCCTTCCCAGCGGTTATGACACTGAAGATAAATTTATACCATACAGGCCTCTCTGTATTGTTACAGAATACGTGTTATACGACATATATGATATACCAGCTGCTGATATGAAGTACAGGATATACCAGCTGCTGATATGAAGTACATGATATACCAGCTGCTGATATTAAGTACATGATATACCAGCTGCTGGTATGAAGTACATGATATACCAGCTGCTGATATGAAGTACATGATATACCAGCTGCTGATATGAAGTACATGATATACCAGCTGCTGATATGAAGTACATGATATACCAGCGGCTACCCTTTTGCTCCACTGTGGAGCAACCATATAATCCCGTCGTTCTGGATAATGATGCTTCTAAGAGGTATAACTTCACAGTGGGTCTGATGAGTATGTTGTTCAACAATGAGTACAAGGTCTCCTTCCTGAAGATTTCGAGATGGCTTCAACTGTCTCTGCCTCATCCTTAATGTGTTCAGGTACTCAGCTTTCCATCTCTTCCAGAACCTATCTCCTACATTCATTCTCAGGGCATGGTTTGGGGTCAAGGCTTCTGGTTCTGTGACATCGCCCGGGATTATAACATACGGCTGTTCATAGTGGCATGCATCTCCGTGAGACCTTCCTGGGTTATCTTCACTTGTTTCACTATTTCATTTGTTAAAGGATAACACACATTACACCACAGACCCCTATCTTCAGCTTCGTGTTTCCCACACAAATGACAGAAGAACCCCCGAACAGATCCCCTAAAATGGAAATGATAAGGGATACTGTAATCCTTAGCTGTATTGCTGCTGGACAAGGGAAAAACTCCACATCCCTAATAACAGGGAGAGAATACAACCCTGTGTGTCTACAGAATTTGGATTTCTCCCAGGACATTGGGCGCCGAGATGAAAAACCTCTCCAGTGCTCAGCAAAACAAGCACCAGTATAATATACCTGACTCTGTATTATATATCTGTCGGGATCAGTAGACAGAAAGTCATCAGGTAAAGATGCCCCCAAAACTCTATGTCCCACACACGGTAATTGTCTCCACTGCACTGTATATAGTCATAATATGATGCCACTGAAATGCCACGTGAAGAAGTCAGTACACGTCCTCTGCACCGCTTCTATAAGGATATTGATGGCATTTCCAGTACTGGGCATCAACGCCAAGGAGTGATCACCATGCGTCAGGACTTCAGTAAATAAAATAGGATTTCATCAAATCTCCGTCCACCTACACGTAGCAAGCCCTGGTCATCCGATAAATGCGGCTTGCCTTCCTCTCTTCAATATGTCTAAATCTTCGGCAAAGCAGGCTATTTGCACTTGCTTGATGATAACCGTTCTTGCTGCTTGGATCTCAATTACACTGAGGTTTGAGCCTTGGTGTGAACACTTACTTCAACGTGCTGAACAGAATATGCGTAGCCATGCCACAATTCGTTGCAGCTTGTATCACAAGGAATACCACTCAAACAGTGGGTCTCCGGGTACCATTTTTCTTGTGTCAGCTGCAGATGATATAATTATTTTATTAACTTCAGGATCATCATTTGAAATCCCAGGTAGTTCTGGTTAAGGAGGCCAGAAGGCTTCAGGTAAGAGGAGAAATTCTGCTCCTCCCTTCCAATTCTTTCTTTGCATTAACTCCATGGCTGAAAGGCCTCTGGAAGCAGCATCAGCTGTGTTGAGCTCGGATCTGACATGTCTCCACTGTTGGGGAGATGAATTTTTGTGTATAATGCCCACTCGATTTGCGACGAATGTGTGGAACCGACGAGAGGTGTTCATGATGCACTGTAGAACTTATATACTGTAGAACCAGGACCTACCAACCCCATAATACTTAACAAACCCCCTTTTGAGATTGGCTTGTTCTCGATGGTAACTCTGATTTGAAGCGTATCACTATCCAGGCTCCACAGGACTCCTAAGGTTCTGTCGGTTGGTAGGTGTGTGTGTGTGTGTGTGTGTGTGTGTAAATGTGTGTGTATATATATGTATGTATATACATACATATATATATATATATATATATATATATATATATATATATATATATATATATATATATATATATATATAAATTCATATATGTAATCACACACACACACACACACACACACACACACACACACACACACACACACACACACACACACACACACACACACACACACACACACACACATACACACACACACACACACACACACGCACACAGATATATAGATTTCTCTCTCGTTATTTTCTGTCTACCTGTTTGTCTCTCTCTCTTCCCTTTTCTCTTTCTATCTCTTTGTCCCTCTCTTTCTCTCTCACACCAACACTCTCTCTCCCTGAGAGTGGTCAGGTGCTTCCGAGGTCACGCCCTGTAACCGCTGTGGATGACCCATGAGGGCGGCGTACTAGCTGCATCGCCGTTTTGCTGACCTAGCCACGCCTGTTTCGCTCGTGACACCCCACTATCTTCAATAAACGGGGCGAATCAGACCGTGCGTTTCCCTGAAGCACCAACGCGGAAGACCAATCAAACCCTTCACAGACTACAGGATACTGGTACCCTGACAGATTTATGACAGCAGTGGATGTCGCTTCTTTCAAGCTCCAATGCTTCAATCCAATCGATTACTTCCTCTTTCCGAAACAAAACTATAAGTGTGCATTTTTTACTTCCCATATGTGCATCCCGTTATGTTTTTTCAACATGTGCAGTGATTTTTTTTTTTTTTTTTTTTGAAATCTAAACAACTGTCCGTGTGCGTGCATTTTTTTTCTCTGTTACCCTCTGTTTTTCTATTTTCTCGCAATGGTAGATTATATCTATTTTAATTTACGAGGATAATTTTCTTCGGCTTGCTATCTTTTTTTTATTTAACTCGGTCATGCTAGACTAAAAGTACAGATTCGCGTATATTACTGAATCTTTTATTTACTGCCTTATGCTTAAATTTCTTTTCTACAAATACTCTATGCCCGCCTGGGTACAGCTGTGGAAATAATGTCACATTCTTGACATATTTTCCTATCATCATTCCCCATTGCGTTAACCGATGCTTTATCGACGTGAATTTCGTCTATTGTTTCTAAGTTTAATTCTCTCTCTCTCTCTTCCCCTTTCTTTTACTCTTTCTCTGTGTCTGTCTGCTTGTCTATGTGTCTCTGTCTGTCTATCTGTCAATCTCTGTCTGTCTGTCTTCCTGGCTGCCTCTCTGCCTGCCTGCCTGTCTGTCTCTGTCTCTTCAGGTAAATTCTCTCTCTCTCTCTCTCTCTCTCTCTCTCTCTCTCTCTCTCTCTCTCTCTCTCTCTCTCTCTCTCTCTCTCTCTCACTCTCTCTCTCTCTCTCTCTCTCTCAGTCAATGTCTCGTCACCATAACGACCTGCTGGCTGCATATTACACCAGTGCGTGAAAATGTTCTCATAATCATTGGGCCTGATAGTAGAGTAAAGTGATCCAAATAATATATAGTGCACGCTCACAGATGTGCTGTGAGGGTGCGGCTTAGGCGACCATGCGCGTGAAAGTAAAAGCACTGATGATCCAGAGAGTCATCATAACGTATGAGGGGGAGGTAATCCCTAAAAGTATTAAAATGGTCAAGGGCATGGTACCCTTTCGGTGTGCCGTCTTCAAATCCCTGACCCCATTCTGCTCAAATTGTTCGAAGTGGGGACACAGAGAGACGAACCGCGATGCCGATACTGCGCTCTTCCTCACGAGAGCTCAGAATTTCCGACGGAAAAACTATTCCTCGGAAACTTTTGGCAGGAGCACAATGCAAAATTTTCATTGTACACTTATTATCCAAAGGATAGGAAGGTAAGCAGGCCCTCCCAGCCCCTCGCCTTAATGATGTGGGGGAATTCCCACGCCTGGAGAGATCACCTCTGATGACCCTTCCAAAGAAAGCCATGGCGCCCGTCACGGTACCAGCACCGAGAGGGCTTAACGCCCTAGCACAAGCTGCAGCACCAACCCCAGCACCAGCTTCAGCACCGATTCCAGTACCAGTTACAGCAACGACTCCAGCTCCAGCTCAGCCCTCACTACAGCAGCCTCAACCTGCAGTGGGCCTTGGAAATGATCAGGTGATAAGTGATGGTTCCAAATAATCTTTTGAAACGCAAGGCAACCCTATCAAAAACCATATCAAACATAGGTCTCCATTCTCCAGAGACAAACGAGCGCATCACCTGCACAAAGATCCTGAAATAAAGCAACTTAGAAAGCTTATAAAGTCTACAGTAAATCAACTAAAAAAAAACATGGGGAGAAATCCTTACTTAGCTAGGGACCTTGTATACCTTAGAAAAAAGCTTAATGAAGTAATAACTCAAAAGCGGGAAGAGAGATTGTATGCCTCGGCAGAATCGATAGACTCCACGACTTCCAAGAGTAATGTGTGGAGGAAAATTAACAGGATTAAGGCAATGCATACAGTGTAAATGCTGCAAAAATTCCTCTCTCGATGATCGTATCCATACGCAGGTGCTCCCTTAACCCATTCACGCCGGGTGTCACGTATATGTGACGGGCCCACTGTGAGTTTACTTGTTTAATTGTTTTCACACATAGATGGCTGCACTTGTACTTGTACTGCCTGTCTCGCCTGTTTACCCTTTTCTTTAACTTACGA